ATGTGAGACACGTTTTACTATTTGCTTCGCTTATTTTTAACCAACTTTTTGTACACTGTCCATAAAGTATTCCTAACCTGTTTTTCATTTAAGGTCTCGTAATGTCTCATTAAAACTATAAGTTCATATCAAGGTGTTTGGCCTGAACATCACTGAGCTGAGGTTATTTGAGTCCTTTCAGGGAGCAGACGCTGCTCCTTCCACCTTGTTTGTTACAGAAATAGCTTTCTTTTAAATTCGTCTCTAGCATTAGCCTTATGCTAATCCCAGATGCTAACAACAGATCGCCTACGTGTCTTACAACTAAAGAATGCTAGGCCACGCAAACATCTGCGGTGTGTACGGCTCCTTATGGTTACCTTGCAATATTTGAGAGTAGCTAGGAGCGGTCGCTCCAGTGTCTCCGTCAGCACTCCTTTCAGACGAGACATAACCACGTGAAGACACGTTACGCTCGTGTTGTGTTCAAGGAACCTGTCCTTGGCCAGGAAAAAGTCACTCGCTAGATTTCTTCTTCTTTTTTCAAGTGGAGAAGTTGTCCGTCCGTCAGTCGGACTGACTCCAACCCCCCCACCCCCAAAAACGAAAACTCTTCGGTTCCCCACGAATTACACAAGTCACCCAAATCAGCGTTAAAAAGGCGGGAGGCGCCGAAAAGCGACTAATTTGCATCACTGATTATATCTAGCTTTATCACCACTGTAAAGAGTCTTTGAAGACCTGAAAAAGCGCTTGGAAATGACATTTATTATTATTATTATTATGATTATAACTTAAATGAAATGTTATACCTGGAAAAACAAATACAGGACAGAAAATAATACATAGAAAACTATAATAAAAAGAGATGAATGGAAGAGATGGACGAAATAATTTCAATGAGAAAACTAAAGGTTTTCTCAGGTTTGAAGGGATTGATGTGGAGGGAGTCCAGTGACAGGTGATAAAACCGCGCGCACCAGAAGTAAAGGGCGTTGTTTATGGTGACGCTGGAATGAACGAGGACATCCCAATTAATACCTGAGGACTCCTTTGTCCTCGCGTCTCTTCCTCATGTCTTGCGGAGGCAGAGCTAAGACGCAAGGAAGGGACGCGAGTGAGGGAAAGGAGGAGGCAAAATAATTGAGATGAACTCCAGATGTGTGCCAATTTACAAAATGGTGGTGGATAACAACATTACCCAGCATGCCCCTGCCTCACCTTTGAGCCCTGTGTGGTCTCCGTTCTCCTGCAGCTCGCCCTTGATGATGGTGGCTGGCTGGGCGAGTACGGCGGAGCTGATGCAGCCGGCGGGGATCTGCTGCAGGACATGCACCGTCTGCATGGCCGGCTGCGAGCTGCTGGTGCTCACCGGGGAGGCCATGGTGTAGGTCACTGGCTTGATGCTCTGAGGTAACTGGCGCTGGACTGCTATGAGTACCGGCTGGTTGTTAACAGGCGTGCCTGGAGTAGAGACAGAGAGGGACACAGGGATATTTAATATACACCTTTGTTTATTTGAAATCATGGAGGTAACTTATATTATTGCTTCAAACAGCTTTTTAGGAGTAAAATTCAGACATGTTCAAAGTACCTAAACCAAAAATATCCAGTGTTGAAGTCTCTATAGTCACTCAAGTTGTAACTACAAATGCAATTGTGAAAAAGGGTTTTATACCTGGTGTGTTTTGTGCAAAGCGTGCTTCCTGGATGACTGCCAGTTTGGGCTGGACCACCGTGGGGGTGGTCGGGGCAGGGGCCGAGGTGGTCTCCATCTCCAGGGGGACGGGAGAGCCCTCTCGTGAGAGGCTATCAGGAGTCTGGACGCCGCTGGAGTGAGCGGAGAGGACGCCCGAGTGATTGGGAGACACTGGGGCACTCCTGAGGGTCAGAGAGAGGAGGGTTAACCATCTTACAGCAATATCAATATTTAACAGTTATTAAAGAGGTGGTTAAGATTTTGTTCAGTATGAAGCTGACCTTCATGTGCACCATGAGTGAACATCAATGACATCAAAAGCAAACCATTTTTATAGTTTATGGACAACAATGAAGGAATATTTGAGAGTGGGAGCAATTTCTGGTAGTTTTTTTAGTAAAATGTTTTGATAAATGAAGTACTGGACCCTGGACATGTTAGTGAAATTTAATCATTTAATGCTTTGAAAGTCATTTATTTTAAGCAATGTATCTCACGCATGTTTTTATCTTAACAAAATTAAAAAAGGTGATCTTTTATTTATAAGAAATGTAAAAAAAATACCAAAATAAAACTACAATTAGTAATAAAAAAAAATAAAAAAGTGTGCTAATGAATGCTACAGTTAATGAATGATGGTGTGTATGACTCAAATCTTGAGTGTGTGACAGTGGGATGAGAGCAGACCTGGAGGAGAGGGGTCCGTGTGGGGTCCTGAAGCAGGGCACACCCCGGGGCCTTCGTTTCCTGAAGGCCTGCTCGATGAGCTTGCCCTCTGAGGACGGGTCTATCCTCCAGAAGGAGCCTTTGCCCGGCTCCTCCTGCGACCGCGCCACTTTGATGAAATAACGGTTCAATGACAGGTTGTGTCGAATAGAGTTCTGCAGCAGAGAAGAAATTGTGTGAGGGTGTTGCCGTGAAAATAAAAAAAGTGTTTTTGATGATGCATTTGTAATTCTTCTGAGCAGGTTCTGGGGCAGAGACCCTTCAGAGGACTCACCTGCCAGCCCTTGTCTGCAGTCCTGTAGTAGGGGTAGTTCTTTGTGATGTGATTGTAGATTCCGTTTAGTGTGAGCTGCTTGTCTGGAGCCAGTGTGATGGCCTGGACTATCAGCTGTGCATAGGAGTACGGAGGTTTGGAGTCATCCTGTGGAGCAGAGGAGAGTGAATATTTAAGTATGAAGCAAACATAACAAAAAAAGCATATCATTTTTTCAATTCTCAGTTTAAAAATGTGGATTTTAATCCCATTTTTAGTCTTGTGGTTATTGTATTACTAGAGTCTAAAAACACTGCCAAACTGGATATTGTCTATGAAATGTTAGGCATATAATAGTATAAAACATCTAGTATATAAGATTTTTGTCAGATACAATTCAGTTTTTGCAAAAAAACAAACAAAGGTTGCTGGACCAAAATATAGCCTTTATTAGTTTGAGGGTAGAGATGGCGATATGTTGTTATAGCTTGGAGCTGAAATTAATCATTTAATTTATAGAGAAACCAATTAGCAAACATTCCGATCATTTACATTTTTAAAGAAATCTTTCTAAATATTTGATATTTATTAGTTCTGTCTTTTTAAACTTGATAATCCGCCATTTATGCTGGACTATAGTTTTTAATATTCTGACGATGCAAAAATGATAAGATGACACTTTGTTTTTGATAACTTAACAATATCTAAAGAAACATCAAATTATATAAAATAGTATTGTGATGAAACTTTGACCCGTGTCACAAACTGAGGGTCAGCTTTGATGCAACCCCCCCCCCTCACAGAGGGATTGTCCTGCGGTCCCGCTCTCACCTTGGGACTGTCCCCTCCAGAGGCGTCTTTGTCGTTGTCGGGCTGGGAGTTGTCATTCATGAGCTGCAGCTCTGCAGAGCTGACCATGCGGCCCCCCATCCTGTAGCTGGAGGAGCCTGCGCCCCGCGGGCTTGAGGGGCATGAATTAGCAGCACTGCAGGAAACACAATAACAACCGTGAGATGCAGAGACATTTTTTAAATATTTTCAATACTTAATTCGTTTTAGTCTCATTTAGTTGTTTATTAGGTGCTTCCATCGGAAATATAGCTAGGCTATTATATCCCAGAAGAGGCACAGTTAGAGTAAGCTCAGTCTGTGCTGCAGAGGCACGCTTTTGTCCCACATCTATGCAAATTGCCTCACCTCTCAAACACTGCAGTCATTTAAGAAGGCACTATCAGGCCTTAAGAGACAACACATACCAATCTTAACCAAGTCCAATTATCTATTTGAATAACCCAGGAGGAAGAGACTTAACATTAAGGCACATTTACATATTTTAATGTTTATTTCAGGACTCAGGGGACTGTGGAGAATTTGGTACACAACACAAAGAAGCAGCAGCGCTGGACTGTGCTACACCTGGTGCCGCTTATCTTACGCCAACTGCTCATTTACAAAGAGAAAACACATTATATCATATAACCTTGAAAAGGGGACCTGTATGACAGAAGAAAGCTGGTTGGTTTTTAGCCATCTGGCTGAGATCAGAGGGTTGAAAGGATAAGAAAGTCTGAGATGGAGGCGCCCTCCCTCTCTGAGCCATGCAGTCTCTGAACTAAGCCTAAGCTGATCACCCTGCAGGGCCATGTCAAGGTCGGCTACAGGCGGAGAGGGAGGGACCACCGAGCACTGATCTCAGGTGTAAGAATCAGAAAATGGTACGTTTACACATCTGAAGAAAAAAAGGGGAGAATTTTCATCATCCGGGTATTCATAATTATCTTCTATGGAAACTTTAAAAAGTTTTCAAAAACAATCGGAAACCGCGCAGTAATTATCATAAAAGAAACAGCTGAGCCTCAACATTTATTTACCTTATATTTATGCAGGGGACTTTACTTTTAAATATTAACTTATTTAAGATTGTTGAGTTCACTAAAAAGGATGTCCTGTGAATATGTGATGCAATACCGACATTTGTTTAACATTTCAGGTTAGGGGAGTCCACTATAGAGCCATTTTAAGAGATTCTCAGGATAACATAGTGAATGGCAATTATTTTGGCCAGGACTCAAATGTTTCATATTCTTCAGCCCAAAACATGGGGCCAATGGTGCCCTTGTACCAAGGCTGAAGCCTTAGCTGTGGCCCGGTTTAAAACAACTCTCTGCGAGGAAAAAAGACAAAATAGGCCAAAACAATTATCTTAAAATAAAAAGTAGGAGGCAAATTAATGCTAAATGACCTGGCAAGTAGACAACTCATCTAAAGAGGATACATTCTAGATACAAATTGTTGTTGGTGTTAGGAAAAGTTCTTCCTGCTTTTAGCTAGGGGACACATAACAATTTGCTGAAGGGCGTACCTAATGGTGCCAGTGGGCGATGGCAGGGGGCTCATGAGGTGAGCGATGTTGTCTGGAATGTTGATGGTCAGCGGGGAGATCATGGGCTGTACGGGCTTCACCGGAGACTCTGGAGCTTCACGCTTCACCTTCTTCCCGCTGGACAGCGCTGTGAACGTGATCTTGATGTTTGTGCTGGGAAACCTGAAAGTGCACCTGCAAAACAAAACAAGACACAGTTTTAAAAGAGCTGGCAAGTAAGGAAGAGGTACCTGTCAATCATATCAACATTAGGAAGGCAAATCAGTGAGCGTTAATAACCACACGTAAACCTCAGCTGACGGGCTCTAATTAGCCGAGAGACAATGCGCAAGTTAATTACATTTGAATACTGATGCAATGGCTTAATGAAGCTCCCTTCTACCTCCACACTGCTGGAAATATTTAGTTTGTGCAGCTTCTAACTGCAAATGATCACAGTACTGCACATTATTACACTGCAGAGGACAAAAACACAGAGCTATTACTCACTGGAGTACCGGCGAGAAATAAGCAGAGGGACACAAATTAAGACACCCTAGTCTCAGCACCATGTACAAAATGACAATGCTTGCATTCAATTGTATTTTAACTCCTCTTGTGTAATAAATAAGGCTGCAACAAATTACTTTAGTGCAAGTACTTAACTTGTGCTAATGAACGCTAAACAATAATAGTGATTTATTCATCAAGTATAAAATGGTCAATATGCAAACGCTTTAATGCCATGTTTATTTAATAGTTATTTAAGACCCGAAACCAATTTGGAAATGTTTGTTATGCTACTATGAGGGTTATTGGCATTCAAAAATGAAAACAGAAACATTTCCACAAGGCACCTAGCGTCAGTAAATCAGGGTCGGGCCAATAAGAGCTTATCACAAATGTACAGTATTGGTGTAAAAGTCTGTTGATAAATAACTATACACAAAACGGTAAAAACTCAAGTTTCAAGTCTAAGTATGTTGCTAAAAATGCCCCATATCAGTTAGACTATCACAAATGAGCTGTGAGGCAGCAGAGTGTCCGCACATGAACCAACAACATTGTTTCAACGGCATAATGGACAGGATTAAGCTTCATGGGATGCCTTTGAATTCACATTCACACAGACCTTCAGACAACATGGCGCCTCTGTTTGGCTTGGCTATTGTTGCTCCTGCTGCCACCCGTTTTTCGCTGTTTTTATCTGTCATGTTTGTTGTCATAACCTCACCTCTAAATGGATGTTACCTGCTGCAATGGTTTATGACGAATTGGTCCTTGTTCCGGATTAAAGCGTCATTGGAAAGACCTTTGCTCCGGGGAGGGTACCGACCAAACTTTTCCGCACGTTTGTGTGTTCCTCCTCTCATCCTGCGTACCGGCTTCTCTGTCGCAAAACTGGCGTCCAGTGTAAGCCAGGGAGAAATCCAGGGAACGGAGGTTGCCGAGGTGGCGTACAGGTATCGAGGAGGCGGCTTTTCGAAAAGCTGATTCGGGTCCTGCGGTTCCCAGTCGCATGACCAACATACATCGCTGGATAAAAACAAAAAAAAAAAATAAAAATCACACAAAACATTAGCGGACCGATTTCGCCCTCCAGGACATATAGGCGCGGAACGTTCACTGATCCCAGTCATGGACTTTATTCAACCTGTCACACACGTTTCTCCGCCCTGGCCGTCGTGGATGCGGGATTATGGAACCGTCTTTTGGTGTTTCGCCGGACTGTTAATGCACGACCCGAGAAGGAAACTGCACCGCGGCCTCGCTGGAGTTTCCTGTCATCGCACCGGTGACTGCTGTCAAGTCCTCAATCAGTCAGCTGTAGGCATCACAAGCTGATCTAGTCAGATAAACCTGCCGATCCGATGGCATTATTGAGCTCGCGGCAACCATCGAGTTTACATGTCTCTACTGAAGCAGGCTAGGATACAGGCCCACTGGCTCCTTAAGTCGAATCGCTCTCTTCTGTCGAATACCTGTGCCGAACCTACATGGGGCAACCTCCTTTGTTTACTTCTCTGTTAGTTGTCACCGTTGGCTTACCTGGACGCCAGTTTGCGAGGAGAAGCCCGGCAGAGGGACAAGGACTATTTTCCTTAACGGGCTTCTGTCTCCCGGCTGCTCTTG